TCTTGTTCTTTTTTAAATCAATCCAGGACTATGTCAAGGATACAGCTTCTAGTTGGTTGGGATGTTCTTCACGAGCTCTTTTGTAACCACTCAGTTTCTTATATAGATTTGGATTTGGGGTGTCCTCTATGGGCCCTAGCTGGGAAGATATCTTATCTCCCTTGCTCCATGCTTCTCCCTTTATACTCTTCTTGAGTTTTAATGAGTGGTCTCCGATTGGTTTCCTATAAAAAGAAATAGAAGTAGAAGAAAAGAAAAGAAAAGAAATTTGTAAATGGTGCTTGCTCATCATAAAATCGATTACTCAGCTTGTAAAGCAAGCTTTAGAATATAGATATAACTTATAAGGCTTTCTTGATGTACTGTGGTGCTTTATTTTTCTTTTTGATATGATACCTTACTGTCACAAATTCCTTATTCTATGCCTTTTTTTTAAGTCGCTTCTGTTGCCCTGTAAATTATGTGTATATTTTGTAATGACTCTGATCAGGTAACTTGGGCTGGTTTTGACATTCTGGAAGTTGAACCATCTGTCTTAAGGCACATTCTCTTACTTGGTTATCTGAATGGATTTCAAGTACTTGATGTGGAGGATGCTTCTAACTTTAAAGAACTTGTTTCAAAGCGTGGCGGCCCTGTTTCATTCTTACAGATGCATCCTTGTCCAAAAACGCCTGATACTTCTCCAGGAAAGACTGATACTCATGATGCACTCATAAGATCACATCCTTTGCTGTTGATCGTTGCAGGAGAAGAAAGTAAGGATGTAGCTGTGGGGCAAAATCATAGAGTTATTGGTGGCCATCCAGGAAGTTGTGCCAACTCTCACAATGCTGTTCAGTTTTACTCCCTTAAGTCTCACTCTTATGTACATGTTTTGAGATTCCGATCTGCTGTTTGTATGGTTAGATGCAGCTCTCAGATAGTAGCTGTTGGCCTGGCTACACAAGTAAGGACCACAATGACTGACAACTATGGATATAGAATTGATTTGATGGTAACATCTGCTTGAAGAGTATGTATTAACATAGGGAACATGCACTTACAAATACAAGTTTTGATGATCTGCATTTCTTCTATTCAAGTATTGTTCAAATGATGCACTCCCCAGAACATTTTCTCCCCCCTGTGAAATGGTAATCTGAATTAGTTTTCCAGTTTGCAAGTATGATATGAGTTATTATATCAGTCTACTGTAGGATCTTGCTATATAACTTCCTAGATTATGCGTGTAATAATCCAGCATATCGTTCATGAGAGCAATTTTCTCACTGACTTGATATTTGGTGGCAGATATATTGCTTCGATGCAATCACCCTTGAGGTTGTATTTAGTGTTTTGACCTCTCCAGTTCCTGAGTTATCAGGACAAGGAACCACTGGAATTAATGTTGGTTATGGCCCCATGGCTGTGGGTCCTAGGTGGTTAGCATATCCTGCTGTTGGCCCACTACCGTCAACCATTGTTCAACTAAGTCCACAAAGCCTATGCCTCTCTCCAGGTGTTAATTCATCATCATTTCCAGGCAGTGATAGGTCAATGGCTTATTATGCAGTGACGTCTGGTAAGCAACTGGCTGCTGGAATTGCAAACTTGGGTGATAGGGGATATAAAGCATGGTCCAAGTACTGTCAAGATCTGAACCCTAACAAGTCTAGTTTATTGGTTGAATCAAATTCAGGGTGGAAAGCGGGAAGCCATGCAGGAACTGAAGCAGATTATCCTGGGATGGTTAGTGTTTACTGTTATGATCCCAATGCAATATTGTTACTGCAAATTCATGAATGGTAGTTTTTTTTTTTCATTTTCAGGGATGTGAACATCATGTTCTGCATGATTCTAAAATATAGTCTTTTTCCAATCATTTATGTTGCTTTTGCTTGAACAGTGAGTGCTATCTATGATTTTTGTTTGTTTTTGTAATGCTTGAATTACCCTTTTAGTTATTTTGGCAATTACTTTTAAGGTTGGATTGCATTTTAAAGAAATGGAGTTCATAGGTCGATTAAACGCCAGTCTTCTTGTAACAAATTAAACCTTGAGTTTAATCTGTTCCATAAAATTGAAAACCTAAGAGGGGAAAGTATTTTATTTGACATCATCATGATGTTCATCGAAGTTTTTCTTTATTTTCTCAACATGGGGTGATAACCTGGAAAATCAAACTTGTGTAGTGTTGAATTTTGTTTCTTTGATTCATTTGACCAAAATGGTTATTATAGGTTGCTGTTAAAGATTTTGTTACCCGGGATATTATATCTCAGTTTAGAGCTCACACCAGCCCGTTGTCTGCACTATGTTTTGATCCTAGTGGGACCCTTCTAGTGACTGCATCAATACATGGGAATAACATCAATATCTTCCGAATCATACCATCTTACTCGCGCACTGGATCAAATGGTCTAAGCTTTGACTGCAGCTCTTCCCATGTCCATCTTTACAAACTGCACCGTGGAATAACATCAGCTGTTAGTATGAGTGTGGTCTTGGATGGTAGAATGCTTATTCTTCATCTTCCTATGTTTTCAAAATTTCTCACCTTTTCTACTTTTCTGTCTGCTCATCTCACAGACAATCCAGGACATTTGCTTTAGTAACTACAGTCAGTGGGTGGCAATTGTTTCATCCAAGGGAACTTGTCATGTTTTTCTCTTGTCCCCTTTTGGTGGTGAAGCTGGATTTAGAATCCTTAATTCTCAGGGTGAAGAACCATGTCTGCTTCCAGTTGTATCTTTACCTTGGTGGTCCACATCATCTCTCGTCATAAATCAGCAATCTTTTCCACCTCCACCGCCTGTTTCTCTTTCTGTTGTGAGCAGAATAAAATACAGCAGCTTCGGATGGCTAAATACAGTAAACAGTTCAGCTGGTTCAGGAAAGGGTTTTGTGCCTTCTGGTGCTGTTGCTGCTATTTTTCATAATGCGCTCTCTCGAAATCCTCATCGTGTAAACTCAAAGCACAATTCCTTGGAGCATCTGTTGGTTTATACTCCTTCAGGTCATGTAGTTCAGCATGAACTTCTACCTTCTTTTGGGGCTGAACCAAGTCTCCACAGTTCTAGAACCGAATCAAGTTCTTTTCTGCATATGCAGGAAGATGATTTTAAATTAAAAGTTGAGCCTATTCAGTGGTGGGATGCATGTAGAAGATCAGATTATCCAGAAAGAGGGGAATGCATCTATGACTCCACCTTTGATGGGCAAGATGTAGCCAAAACCAAAACCAAAACTACTCAGAATGGAAGAACAGATACTGAGGGAACTTATGAATTGGATTTCCAGGAGATGAATGATGATTCTGGTGCAGAGAAGGTGATTAGAGCCATAGGTCAATCTGGTATATCTCACGAGCAATCCCACTGGTTTCTATCAAATGCAGAAGTACAAATAAGCTCTGGAAGGCTACCAATATGGAAAAACTCCAAGGTATTGCTTGTGTGGAAGTATTATATTAATATCTTGACGTGTTCATAATTTTGATTTGTTTCTGTTGTAGATTTTTGTTATGAGTTCTCCAAGAATCAACAGTAATGCTGGTGGAGAGTTTGAAATTGAAAATGTGCCCGCTCATGAAATTGAAGTAAGAGAGAAGGAATTGTTGCCTTGTTTTGACCATTGCCTCAGCCTCAAGTCTGGCTGCAATGACAGGCGAGTACAGTTTCTTGGTCTCTATATTTCTACAGAATAACTCTTGTAGGGAAGCGTGGGTTTTTGGGACATATAGGCACCGTAAATCTTGTAGAATATTGGTTTGGCAACATTTAATTTGAATCTTGTGATCATCGAAACTGTTTTAGGATATCAAAAAGTTGAAGAATTTTGAAAACGTCAAAAGTTTGTATTTTCAAATTTCTCTTCCTTCCAAAAATTGATTATTTTAAAATTTTGACCAAGTTTTATCGAACTCTTTTAATTTTTGTGCTTATTCTATGTTGGTCTGTAAACTTCTAAACATTCTATTTATGTTGCAGAAAAAGTCATGTAAGTCTTTGTCATGAGTTATTTTATATATATATATATATATATATATATATATATATATATATATATATATATATATATTGTAAATTATCTAGATACGCATTTGGTTTGAGATGTCTGTACAAGTACATCTGAAGCTAGTTTAGATTTATGTTTTATAATTTCCTATGAAAAAGGACTCAAATAGGTTTTTTATGTTTATGATTAAAACAAAATATTCGACAAATTTAGGAACCAAATTGAAATAAGAAGGAAAGTTATAAGATCTAAACCATCCAAATAACATCAATTAATATCTAAACTATTTTATGAATTTAAATTTAAAAATTAATCTTATTTGATAATATAAAAAACCTTAAAATTATATAAGTTATTTACAAAAAAAAAAAAAAGAATCTACATTAAGTTAATTAACAAAATTTCAATGTTATAAGAATCCAATGTTTTTGGAAAAGGCATATTTATTTTTTAATATCAAGATATTGTAATCAAACTCACTTCTAGATTCCATTAAAATGTTTTGAAATACAACTCGGCTTTTCCTTGTTTTTTTCTTAGAATTTTTTTTAGTTCACATTTTAATATGCTCAAATGTTTTTATGGTTCAACTCTAAACGATACATCTCTTATATGGCATGCTATTGTACTAATACAAAAAACTTAGTAATGCAAAAGTTGTTGAAAGCTTATTATGCACATGGCTGCCTATATTTATGGCATAAATGATGGTCTATATTTCATGGCCCTGTGGAATGCTTAGGCATTATTTGTCCTTTTTTGTGGAGATAAGAAACAATTACAGTTTTCCTCAAGCAGGATATATTCTTATCTGTTCTGGGTTTATAGGCTTTTTACATTTGATGAGAACTATAATAAGGAAACGTCCTATTAGCAACCATGAATATTTTCTTTTATCATGAATTGTTAGTGTGCAGGGTGACTTTATTTGATAATATCATCTTTTTACATCTCATATCTCGTAGTCTTCTTTTGTTAATGAAAGGTTTCCTCAGTTTGGTAACAATTCTTCGATTTTCGATTTGTAAGTCTGATTCTTTGTCAAATAATTTGCATTTCAAGGAGGAAGGATTGCATTTGTTTCTTCTCTAAAAAAAAGGTTAATGGAAAGTTTCTTTCATAAAATATATTATTGACTGGTAGGTTGTTTTGTGGATTCAGAGGCCTTGTTTTGGCAAGATGTACCAGCCCTAGTTCTAAGACTTGCCAGTCCGAGGTCAAGATTAGTGAAGAAAATGTTGTTATTTGTCACTCCAAACCTGCATCACTTAGTTCCACGGAGAGCTCAGATGGGGGTGAGAAATAAAATTCTTCCTGAACTTATCTATGGCTTTTGTTTCTTCAAATAGATATTACTAGTTTCCTTCCAAGAATTGTGAAAATTAATTCAACGATGGTGATTGACTGAACCCAAAATTGCTCATGCTGATGGGTTATGGCGAATTTAATAATTTATCAATACTTCAACAGATGATATTGCAAATCATTTTCATGTACATAGTTCGGTGAAAATCTAAACCGTTGCTTGCCTTTTTTAACTGGTTCATTAATTTATTTGAGTTTTTGACACCCATATCATGTTTCTATGCAAATGTCATTTAGAGATAATATAGATCACTATTACTCATATTGTCCTTTTAACATTATGAAGGTTCATCAAGAAGGATGGAAAACTTGATTGATTTTGATCAGGCAGGCTGCGAGAAGTCTTGTACTCCCCTTTGTCAGCATCTGAACGAGATGTACTGGGAAAAAAGAGCAAATGATTCTTGTATGTTGAGTCCGAAATCCTCGAATATTCCATCCACTCAAGCTGTAGATTCGAGGATCGATGGCTCCTGTAACGATTTATACTTCTCGAACAGCAATTTTGATTTTCCTTCCGTCGAACACGTTTCTTCTGAAAGGCCACCTTTCGACAAAGGTGCAACTAATGTTTCAGTTTTAAGCCATGACTCGTATGCTTCAAAGTAGCCGTTTTGTTGTCAATAGACCTGCTAACTTTGAAATTGCAGATACTTTTGGGCAGATTTTCCAGGAGGAACCCTGCAAGGCATTGGAGGGCGATGATGGTTGCCAAATAATAAACGATATTTCTACTGATCATGTTGAGCCCAACCGCAATAGCGATGTCGAGTACGAAAACATATCTATAGATGAGAATGTCAAAATATTTGGTGACATGTTCACCTCTTCCGAAGAAGGTTGAACCCTTTAACCTTTGCCTTACCTCTATTGAATCACTTGTTATAAGTCATTCTTTTCTTCTTTTTATTGGCAGGCTGAAATAATGAACCTTTGGAAGTGGTCAAAGGGTGCTAAATAAATATCATACCCAGTAACATCTGCCATAGTACGTGAACTCTTTCTCTCTCTCTATCCCTCTGTCTCTCTTGTATAGATCTTAGAGGGGTGTAATTGGGTCGGATCGGGTCAGTTTCCTGGCCGAATTGGTTCGGTTAAGTGGAGAAGAAAACCGAATCTATTAGATCTTGTGAATAAATTTGCTGAAATATGTGAAGTGAAGGTTGCAGCCTTTAATGGTGGTTTTTAGAACCGTTCTTGGTGGAAGTGGAACTATATCATGGAATGAAATGTGTTCATATTTGTAAAGTGTTCGGTTTGAAAGATTACACTGTAAAATAATGCACAAGAATTTCCAAGCTGTACAAAAATTACTTCTATTATTGGGTAGGATGAGAAAAGGAATGAATTTTCATAATATCCTTATGTCTCTGTTGAATATAGGTTTGAAGTCTTTGTCTCCTAATAACCAGCCAATATAGTCTCAAAATGTATTTTGTAATTTTTTTTAGTACAACAGTGGATTTGAACTCATAACCTTTAGGTTGGAGATAAGTATCTTAACGAAATATGGTCAGGTTAGCTTGGAGCTACGTTTGTATTTAGAGTTGAACATAATGATGTAATAAATCAAATCTCACGAAGATAGAATATGGAAATTCTATATGTTTCTTGATTACCCATTTGTTTAAGTAGTTGGCTTATGAAATTATTTGAGATCTGTAAGTTGATTCGGATATAACAAATAACAAAATGGTATTAGTTGTAGTTTCTTATCGATCAAATCCGATGAAACTATTAGTAAAGTTAAAAAAAAATAAGTTTTTAACTTTAGCATACTTCAAATGGTCTTTGAAGATTTTTTTTACCACTGGACAAATTTTCAATTTAAACATTTAAATTGTTGTTGAATCTTTTCGTAAATGAATAAGAGAATTATGACAAACATGAAAATCGAAATACAATCATTCATCTACTGAGCTATTTCATCTATTAAAGGGAGTATGTTGAACAAACATCGAGTAGAGTTCTAATCAAGTTAGAGAAGTTTATCGTACAAGAAAAAGATAGACAATGAATCCAAAGTTAAGATAATTGTTTTTTTTTATAAAGTTAAGGTAATTGTCTTGAAACATCGTGTCGTCTTTTTATATCGAAATTAGGACGATCATAATATAGTAAGAAGAACATGTTTGAGTTAAAGCATCTCAAACTAGATATGATCTAAGTAGATACGTGCTTAATCAAAATCGAGCCGATGAAATCTCAAAGTTTTTTAATAGTAAAATTAAAAATTAACAAGAAGTATATCAAACACCATTATTACCATAACTTAATTAACCAATATAATTAACTCTCCATAAATAAAAACATTTTAATCCCAAACCCACACGAAATGTTCCTCTACGGCCGTTAACAGCGTAAAACTTATTCGACGACTGACGTGGCAGATCCCATTAGGCTTCCACTGTCACTGTCGCATGGAAAGAAAGTGCATTTTCGCGTGACTCTTAACTCAACGCCGTCAAGTCAACGTCAAACAAAAGCTAACGGCCGTCACGCTTTTCGCCTCTACTGTCTCTCCTTCGCCAACCAATAAACCCCCTCCGCCACGTGACCGCTGTCTCAAAAGCCGATGACCTGTCACCCAAAGCTCCCGGCTCGGACAACCGTTTGACCTCCGAACCTAAACCCCCAATAAAAACAAAAAATACATGTATTATGAATAAAATAAATCGGCCATTAAAGAAAGGAAGAAGAAAGGGTTTGTGGTTTGTTCGCAGTTGCAGAGAACTGTGTGGGCGTAGTCATTGAATCTTCTCTCAGAAGCCACAAAAGTTCATCGAAAAGCAGAGAGATTGGAGATTTTATACATTTTTTTTCAAGATTCAGTGATCTTTCTTTGTTTGCGTCTCTTTCAAGCTAATCGATCTCGCGTTTTGGGAGTTTTTTTTTTTCTTTTCTGTGCAGGTTTCCGCCATTAATTTACAGGTTTCTCACGAGATATCCTCCCTTTTCAACCTCTCTTTTGTTTTCTCACGGGAAAGCGTTCTTAAAGCGTCCGGTTGATTAGTCTATATAAGCTATTGCTTGTTTGTGTTGTTCCTCTGTCGGAGCTTGCTGCTCTAATGGCGGAGGAGAAGAAGCAGATCGATTTGAGAATGAGAATGAGGAGTTTTGTTGTGATTTTTATGTGTTTTGTGCAATGTGGTAGGTTTTCGGATGCGATTTTGGATCCGATTGATTTTCTGGCTCTGCAGTCGATTCGGAAGGGTTTGAAGGATTTGCCTGGCTCTAATTTCTTCGCTTCCTGGGATTTCACGGCTGATCCTTGTAATTTTGCCGGTGTTTTGTGTGATTCCGATCAGGTTGTTGCTCTGAACCTCGGCGATCCACGCGCTGGTTCGCCTGGTCTGGTTGGCCGCCTCGATCCTGCCATTGGCAAGCTCTCTGCGCTTGCGGAGTTCACCGTCGTGCCTGGTCGGATCTTTGGAGCTCTGCCGCAGTCTCTCTTCCAATTGAAGAACCTCCGCTTTCTCGCCATCAGCCGGAACTTCATCTCCGGAACTCTGCCGGCGAATCTCGGTGAGCTTCGGAGCTTGAGGACACTGGACCTCAGTTACAATCAACTCACCGGAGAAATTCCTCGCTCCATCGGGATGATAACGGAGCTATCCAACGTCATTCTCTGCCACAACCGCCTCACTGGTTCAATCCCTCTGTTTCCGTACCGTAGCTTGACGCGGCTTGATCTGAAGCACAACAATCTCACCGGATCTCTCGGCCCCGATTCTCTCCCTCCTTCTCTCCAGTACCTCTCTCTCTCATGGAACCGCCTCACCGGCCCCGTCTTCCGCCTCCTGAGCCGCCTCGACCAGCTCAACTTCCTCGACCTCAGCCTCAACCAGTTCACCGGGGCCATTCCGACGCGGATCTTCAGCTTTCCGATCATCAGCCTCCAGTTGCAACGAAACCTCTTCACCGGTCCAGTCCTGCCGATTGATCAGGTCGCGATCCCGACCGTCGATCTCAGCTTCAACCGCCTCTCCGGTCCGGTGTCGCCGATGTTCTCCACCGTGCAGAATCTGTACCTGAACAACAACCGCTTCACCGGCGAAGTTCCGACCAGCCTTGTGGACCGATTACTGGCCGCCAATATACAAACACTGTACTTACAGCACAATTTTCTGACCGGAATCGAGATCAATCCAACGGCGGAGATTCCTCTGAGTAGCGCATTGTGTTTGCAGTACAATTGTATGGTGCCGCCGATACAGACGCCGTGCCCGGAGAAGGCCGGGAACCAGAAGACCCGCCCGACGGAGCAGTGCGGCGAGTGGAGAGGGTGAAATTTGGAAATTCACATACTCTATCAGGGGCATAAATGGAAGAAAGTAATTAAAGGACAAAACAAAAAAGGAAAAGGAAAAGGATTTTTTATTTTTTATTTTTTATTTTCATAGTTTTGGATAATTAACTGATTAATATATACAAATCTCTGTGGGGGGAATGTTCTTTTTTTCCTTTTTCAATATTCGTTTATTTATATATGTAGTTTTCTTTTAATACTCTTATTTATGTAATTGTTTTGGGAGAAGCTGTGTATGTTTCTTTGATTATATGTATAAATTCAATTTATTAGATTTCTTTTTTCTTTTCTTTTCTAGAAATACTAATTTATTTGATTTCTTCTTCAGTTATTCTCTATCTTTCTTATATAGCAGTATATGATTTTTTGCCCATTATCCATTTTTATGAAGATAAAAAAAAATTTATCCTTGCATAGAAATAGAATAGGTTATGCTAAAAATCAAAGAATTGAAAAGTTAAGCTCAATTTTAAAAGTGGAAAAAAAAAATTTTGAGTTGATTAATTGGTTATAAAACAAGGGGAAAAAAAAGCTCATAATGTACTACCATTAATTATGTTATTGAGATAATGGAAATTTTATTATATTTTTTAAATAAAACATATTTTAGAAAACAAAGAGAAGAATTTTACACTTGAAATTTAAATGTTTCAGAAGTAACTTGATTCAGCTATCATGATTCAGCTGTCATATTAGGCTCGGTTTGATAATGATTTTGTTTTTTATTTTATGTTTTTGAAAATTATATTTGTAAACACTACTTTAATCTATATATTTATTTGGTGTGTCTACCCTTTTAAAAACATTTTTAAAATCTAACCCAAATTTTGAAAACTATTAAAAAAAAAAGGTAGTTTTCAAAAGCTTGTTTTATTGCTTTTGAAATTTGGCTTAAGTGATCAAACGTGCTTCTCATACAAGTTCAAACATACCAAAGAGTTGGAGAGCAAATTAGCATAATTTTCAAAATCAAAAAACTGAAATGAAATGGTTATCAAAGGAGACCTACATTATCGTAATTATTTTGATCTAAAATCGAACCGAGGCATGGAATAAGAAGACAGCTTATGCAACAAGAGATTAGGTAAAGATTATTGAACCACATGGGTGTTATGAAGAGAAGTGGAAGTGTAAGATAGAAGTCATTATCAACAACCTAAGCAAATTAATTAAAATGTGTTTGTCTTTGTCACACTTTATTTTACTTCATTCAATGTTTTTTGAGTTTTTTCTCATAACTTCAAAACCAAAACAATGAATAAACTAACCTTATTCCCATCAATCCCAAAATTTTGATTACATTCTCTAAATTTGAACTCTTAATTCTTGGCAACTTGAGGGAGACAAGTTTTGGGAGGAGATTTGTGAACTTTTAGGCTCTGTTTCTATTTTATTTTTGGTTTTTTGTTTTAGAAAATTAAACTTGTAAACATTCTCTAAAATTATATTACAAATGTTGGAGTGGAAATTCAGACCTACTCCTTATAGAGAGGCATTGAAGTTTTAATAAAGATATGTTCGGTTCGGTAGAAAGAGAAACTGACATAAACAGTTCAACTAGCCGAAATGTTAATAACCTCTCTTATGCTAACTTGAACCTCGCTCAACTTGTTAAGCTATATATCTTCAATCAAAAGGTCGGAAGTTCAAATTCTCACGCACATTGAAAAAAAAAGTAATAATGATAATAATAATAATAATATAATAAAAAGCTTGTAGTTCAATAAATGGGGCATAATTATTAAGGGTAGATTCTTAATCACTTAGAAAGTGAAGACTGCTTTATCTTTTTAAGTTCTTGTTTGCTCATTATTATTCAAAGGGTTCTTAATAATTTCCCAAAGTTTCTTCCACAAGTATGACTTTTTGGCCATCTTAATTATTAAATAAATAGCTTATCTTTAGGTTTCTCTCAATTAAAAATTAAAAATTAAAAAAAAAAAAAGTTATCCAAGTAGGGGCCCTCAATAGTTAATGTTCCCTCTTTTTTCAATGCTTCCTCCAAAAGTTCCATTCTCAATTCATCATTATCATCTCCATCAAAAATGGTCATCTTGCACTTTGGTTATGTTGGGATTTGGGGTGTAAAGATAAAAGGTTGGACTCTGAAGAAATTCTAATTTTTGTTTTTGAAATTTACGCTTCGTTTAATTACAACTTACGTTGGGATTTGAGGTGTAAAGATAAAAGGTTAGAGTTTCGTGTTGCTCGCCACTCTTCAAGACCACATGTTTTGAAGACTATTTTTGAAAATAACTCTTCGAAGAATATATGTTAGAAGTCGTCTTCTTTTCAAAAGTGCTTGTTTTCTAAAATAAAGATGAAACTAAAGATTAAATAGTATTATAAAACAGACATAAACTAATGTATTTTTATTCTTCTATCCTATCTTTGGGATCAATATTTCTTGACTGTGGAACATGAAAATGGGAATACAAATAATGCATTCATGAAAGCTTTAAGCCCAGAAAAATAGCAACAGTGATGAGTATTACTTTGCTTCACAAGAAACTGAAAGCAAATGCAAATGATTGCATAGTGAGTTTGGAATGTTCAGTGACTTGGACCAACCAACTACTTTCAATCATTTTCTGATTCAGAAATAAATGTGAATGGCCAATAATTTGTAAGTCTTTGACATAGAAAGACTAGATCTTTGGGTACCTTGGATAGGAAGTTAAAAACGAGTCTCCTATTCCGCGCGTCTTACGTGATTAGAGGGCCTAACTAGACTGACATATCAATAAGTAATGGTGGTCGGGGTCCTAGCTATACTGACATATCAAAAAGCAAGAGTGATCGTAGCACAAGTTCGCTCCCAACCACGATGGCAGTGACCATCAATGTCATTGTCAAAGCTGAATGAACTAAACGATCTGTTGAGGACAATATTAAGCAGTAAAACATTGGAACAACGTCTCTAAGTGAATCATGAGATTTAGAGGGGGAAAATAAAGATTCAAGCTTAAAACAGACTATGTAGCAATGAATAAAACAATCTTAGAAGGTTTCAAAATAATTCTAAATCTAAGTGAATCATGATAGTACGATACTATTTTGGAAAACTTATTCGTACTTGTCCTTGGAAATGAGAGGTAAATGTCCGGATCAACCCATTTTTCTAAATAGACGGAAGAAGTGGTGTTCAATCTTGAGGCTATTCCATAAACAATCTATTATCTATCTCTAAGATGACTTTGGGTAAAGCATCTCTCGAAAATTCGACAATTTTCTTGACATATTTTTTAGTTCAACATGTGGGGGTAGAAAGAGAGATTTGAACCTTTGATCTTTTGGTCGAGAATATATGCTTTAACCAATTGAGATATACACATGACCAAGTTTCTTGACACCGTAAAACTATTCTAATTTAATTGCTACCCTTTGAAACCACATTAATTTTGAAAATAAAAACACTAATAACAATAAAGCTCTGTATTTAGATTATAAAAGTAGAACAGTCCTAAACAGAGTAATCTACAGACATTGATTGAAAAATCAATATTAATACACCAACGAAAATTTCTGGCTCCCCCCTGCTGAGATGAGTAAAATGCAACAGAATCTCAAAGAAAATTCGAGTTTCTACCAGATTTTGAACACATCTAATGATCATGTGGACAAAAATTGTCTAGGGTCAGGAAAATAGAGGTGGCAGAATTAAAAATAACAATAATTCTGTCCCCACTCTAAGAGTGTAGAAGTTGAGAATTAAAACCAATGAAGAAAATAAGAACACTGATACTATGCAAAATTCACCATTTTGTAGAACATTATTCAACAGATTTATACACTATTATAGGTTATAAACAGAAACAATATATTAGAGGTTCACCACGTAGGACCGACAAAATATTGTGACGGTGAGACTTAAAAGCATACTAATTGCACCTTATTTTCAGCAGAAAGATGGGATATATGCATCACAGTGCAAGACATTTGCCAAGCTATAATGCAGAGGACAGAGCTTGGCTTACAATTTTTCTTCAGCAGTTTTCCGTGGAAGTGTCGCCTCCGGATCCTCTTCTTGTTCCTCTTCTTGTTCAGGGGAGTCGGTGCTTCGCCACTGCCTGGAAATTCCCATTTGACCACATCCCCATCCCATGAAGAGCTTACAAGCATCTGATAGCGAGGGTGCCAGCTACAATCTCTCACTGGTGATTTATGATGCTTGAGCGTGGCTACTAGAGCTCCACTAGGCTGCAAAAGATATACCAACGAGAGAGAGAGATCGGAGAATAATAAAAATAAACAACACGTTAGAGGGAATGGATTCAAACCATGATGGCCACCTACCTAGGACCTAATATCCTACGAGTTTCCTTGTCAACCAAATGTAGTAGGGTCAGGCGGTTGGCCCGTGAATAGTCGAGGTGCGTGCAAGCTGGCCCAGACACACAGATATCAGCAAAAAAAAAAAAAACGTAAGATTGGCTCCGATACTCACAAGTATCTAAAAAATGAAAACTATATGAAAGACCATTTTTATATAACCATAAATCCGCATTCTCTGCATATTTAATGAGAAATGGTAGCCACTAAGATAGTTTGAGAATATTATAATCAATACAAGTATTTTAAACTTATAAGGTGATATTGGAGTATATTCGATCTCTTATACGTTGCTTAACACTCTGCTACTCTACCTCACTTGACGGTTCAATCTAGCATGACGCTACCGTCAAAATATTAATTAGATAGAAAATAACATTGTAAGGGTTTGAACACAATATCCTTCCTCTGATACCATCATGCTAAGCTACCAATGAAAGCTTAGGTTAATAGAATATGGTATATTCAAATATCCTTTTAACGATCCCTTCACTCGTGGGTTCGAAAATTTGCATGAGACCTGGCAAGTAAACTGAACTAACTAATATGGGGTTATAGAAACTTTTAGGTATATTACTGATTCCCCTATGGCCTGTGCACTACAAAATCAGCCAGAGATTTTTATGAAAACTGTATCCAACTCGGTCCCCACATGCAAATGAAAGTATTCTGTTCTTTTGCATTTGCACATATATAGTAATTCCAATTCATGTTCCATCTGATTGATATTATGATTCTATCTTATGAAGGAGAGTCGTAATTTTCGGGGTCCAACTTCAGTTTSGAACCTCATATGAAAAAAAGATGCATATAAACAATACATAATGACTTACCAAATCTTTTTTTTTTTTTTTTTGAAGAAGAAGAAGAAGAAGAAGAAGAATCAAATCTTCCAAAAGATGAAGTAAAAAAAAATGGGTAAACAAAAAATTACAGATTCACCACAATGATTCATGGTCAATTCAAAAATGACTTACCAAATCATAGATATAAACACAGGAATTGTGAGATCCAGTGTAGATGTACTTCTGACCAGTGCTGCAATCTAACAAGAAATCGACCATGAATATATGGAAAGTTTCAATTATTAACTGCACAAGTGATAAAAAAAGAGAACGATTTCACAATAAAAAAAATGTTTATTGAAAAATGAAGCAAATCTACATGAAGTCGATAACAAATGAAACTGTTGCTGGTTAGTTCATTCGCTAGAAGTGAAGTTTAAATAGCATAGAACAAACTGCTGCACAAGGAAAACCTTACAGCTAATATTTTTAGAACAATACTACCCTCCCGACCCTACTGACTGGGCAGGAACTGCTACCCACTAGTAAGTTTTTTATTTACTGACGGGAAAGAGAAACGCACAGAGGAGGAGAGAAGAAAGACTTTTCCTTCTTTCGAAATTTAAACACGGGTAAAAATTTAGTGGTTCTTGTACATATTTTTATGCAGAAGAGCAGATAGTTAATGTTCCTCAGCGGTAATTTGCAAGACAGAAAACGGGACTCCTTCCTATGAATGTGCAAACTATTAGTGAAAGGTATCTAAAAATTATAATATGCAGTTGCACCAACAAAAAGCTCACCTATATTCAGGGGAGAATAACAATGAATGAGCATTCGCAAGACCGAATGACCCTTGTATGTAGCAACAGAACAATCACGTGGACGTATCAAATTTTTTGCATGGAATGGATTATCCATCCATCTGTAGTCCCAGTCATAATTTCTAGGCCTGTTGTAGCTGGAACGAAAAAGAGTGTCGCATATCAATGAAAAGAGTGTTTCCATTTTAAAAGATAATATACATACCTTCTTTTAAAAAGAGAGCTACCTTGCTATATTTTAACTTATAGGAAAAACGATTCGACCCAAAGATAAAAAAAACAATTATGAATTGTTGAATTCTAATATGAACTTTATACTTCCAAGATTTTTTAACTCAAACATCATTTGAGCATTTATTGCATAATAGGGTGTTTGTTGAGATTTAGAGATTCACAACAATGGCTGGATGGTACTTCAAATAAGCTGCAAATATAGAAAGTGTGGAAACAGAACATACTGAGTAGCATTGCTGGACATCTTTCTGATATCCCAAAGTTTAATGGTCTGGTCTTTACCATTCGAAATTAAATATCGACCATCCCCACGACTATCAAATGAATATGATACCTTCTACGTGTCCTTCTAGGATCCCTGCTGCCTTCCCTTTAGATATAAAGCAACGTCGGTCCCACACCTACAAGAATATATCCTATCATTTTAGTCCTTGGAAGAGAACAAATTTCTCAAACACACAATCCTCCTGCTTGCGTGCATTCATGTATGGAACAAAATTCTATCACAGATTCTTATGTATAATACAAGAATTGTAAGAGTTCGAATCGTTAAAATATCTCAAGTTTTTTTTTTTTTTTAGTTTCGAGATCATAGATGTATATAGAATCATCGCTACTTCCAGCAACAAGTTCTCATCCATCTGTTAAAAATTTCACAGAGAAAATTCCAAAGGAATCTCTTCCATTGCCATGTGCACAGAAATCCAGTCCCTCATGGACATCCTGCATCATTTTTAATATGAAAGTGAAGCAAGCAAATCACTATAGAGAAATGGGGAACTCCGTATGGCAAAAGAAAATTACAGATTTCCAATAATCTCAGTCAACTAGTTTCAAGTGCCAAAAATGTAGAAGGATGGTTGAAGCTATGACAATTCAATTTTCACAGTTCCATAATGTAGCTAAATCAAACGTGCACTCTTTGTTCCATTTTACGACATCTAGCAATTCATAATTATGCAAGGAGCAAACGTGCAGCAAGATCAGCTGAGTGCTGACCATAGACTTTCCACCCACATAATTGCATTGCTGGTACCACACATTTTAAAATTTTTACCCTTGCGAAGATAAGAGTTCTATTGAGTATCAGATAGTCGAGAGATACCTACAACTAAACTAAATTTCATCTTTTCTTCTTTATGAAGCTAAGGTACTTCCACACTTTCCAAGGTACGTTAGCTAAACGGTCAAAGTAGAGAGAATCACAGATTCACAGTCAATAAAACAAGACATTGGCCAAGAAGTTGACCCAAACCAACCTGCTTTCACTCCTACAAATGATCATCATCTACACCTGAAAATGAAAGAATACATGAAAATATGCATCACAATTCTAAGTAAATGACCATCTGTTTATACTTCTATTACCAAAAAAAAAAAAAAGACTTTTCAATTTCAACAATCTAATATGGGATTTCATGATGCAAAAGCCAAATTTCAAAGTCTTAAGTATTTGAAAGCAAAAAATCTGAGTGGAAAAAGAAAACAAAAAGTATGTTCTATGTTCTAAATATTCGCCTACCAACAATGACCAATGAAGGGAAAGAAAAAACTAATACTTACAAATATATCCATCTTTACAATGGAGTAGAAGCATGGACTCCAAATCTGGTTCCCATCCAACTAACCCAACAAACAAAATGAATAGCCCATGGCGGAAAATTTCTCACTACTATCTCCCATAGGAGTTTGGGCCCATGTCTCAGTCTTAGTGGCTTGATTAGTATCTCGACCCAACTACTCATCGTCATCTTAATAAGCTATCGTCCCACCAACTAACTACTCACTCAGACACAAGTCCAGTATTTAGCCACTAATGAAAATTACAATTGATTTGTCATCTCAGACCACTTGAGAATTGCCTCAGTAGGCCATTGCCTCACCTACTAGTTAATCAGACACGCCCAAAATAGGCAGCCAGTGAAATTTACAGTCGGTTTCAATGAATGAACATCCTTTAAGACCATCTGATCATGCTTTTAGTAAGCTATTGCCTCACTAACTAGCCAATCAAACACGAGTCCAACGTGAGCAGGTAGTGAAAATTACCGGTTTAAATGAACGAACATCCTCTTGAACCACCTGATCATCGTCTTAGTAAGCTATCACCTCACCAACTACTTAATTCCCTACTTTTGGTCATTTTGTAAAGTGCAACTATGAAAGCCAACTGAACCAGAATGCTGAGCAGAGCCACTACTGCTCATAGATCTCTCAATTTCATCAATCTCAGCAACCAGAGGGATGGGTCTCTCAGGAATTGAAGGAACAGAGAGGTCAGTTTCCAACATTTTCACAACCTGATCCATTGTTGGTCTTGCATGGAGCTGTGGATGGGAACACAGAACAGCAATCAACACATACTTCTCCACAACCTCTGCATAACCCACCTCTGGCATACCTTCTTCAACAACATCCATGGCTTTATGTTCCCTCACCAAAGACCAAGCCCAATCAGTCACTAGAAATGGTTGGTTATCATGGCTCCTCACCCCGAGCGCCTTCCTCCCGCTCAAAAGCTCGAGTAGAACAACTCCAAAGCTATACACATCGCTCCTCTCTGTCAATTGGCCGTAGAGTGCATACTCGGGAGCCACATACCCCAAGGTTCCAGCAACTCTTGTGCTCAAATGAGTCATTCCTTCTGGAGTGAACTTGGCCAAACCAAAGTCAGCAACCTTAGGGTCAAAGTTTTCATCCAAAAGAATGTTGCTGGCTTTGATATCTCTATGGATAATGGCAGGCTGAGCTCCGTAATGGAGATAAGCCAATCCTCTAGCTGTGCCAAGAGCAATCTTTTGCCTAATTGGCCAACTGAGCCTCTCATCAGAAAACCCAAATAAATGGTCATACAGACTCCCATTCTTCATCAAATCACACACAATTATCCTCTGGTGACCCTCCATTGGAGTTGTGGCAATGCAATAACCTCTCAGAGCTACAAGGTTCACATGTCTAACACTGGAAATTACCTCCACTTCATGAGCAAAAATGGCGTCTCCAGCTGCTGAGCAGTTCTTGAACCTCTTCAATGCAACTTCTGAATCGTCTGAAAGAACCCCTTTATAAACATTTCCATACCCACCTCTCCCGATTATGTTATCTCTGGAGAAATTCCTCGTCGCCTTCTTGATGTCCTCGAACGTGAACTTCACCAACGTGGTGCTCGCGCTTATGGACTCCAATCCAGAAGCCATACTGGTCACCGTTCTGCCAATTCTATCGTTCTTTCTCCTCCAGATTCTTAACGTTTCGTGTCTCCGCCAGAAGAACCAACCGCCGGCAATCGCAGCCGCCGCGCCAATTCCACAACAAATCAGAACCACCAAAATCACCGTATTCCGCTTCTTGCTTCTCGATTCCCCCGAGGATAGAGGATAGAGCGAGAACAAGCACTTGGCAGTTCCCCGGTCGGTCGGGCCGAAGTGATTCACGAACGCCGCCGCGTAGATCGACGGATAGGCGGTGCAATCAGTGACATTGCCGATCGACTGGCCGGTCAAGCCGGAGGCCTGAACGACCGACAGACTCGTCGTGCACGAGGCACACGGCGAACCATTCTCGAGCGACTGATTACAGTTCGCAACCACGCCATCGATCGCCGATTTCGGAACAAAGCGCTCGAACTCCGATCTGGTACTGATGTTCATACATCCCTGGGAGATCCACCCGGTCTGAAACCCGCAAGAGCTCCGGATGTTGAAATTCGGCCAAGTTCTATCAACAACCGATTGGTAGGAGTTCCAGCACGAGTCCGCAGAGTCTGCCGGAGGCAAGAAGGAGCCGGTGAGCTTGAGGTACTGGGAGAGGACGAGGCGTAGGCCGAGGCGGATGTAATGGCATTCGTCGGATAAATCGGGGCGGGAAACGGCGGAGCTCTGGGAGAACTGGCGGAGGAGGGTGAAGTTGAGGGGGCATTGCGCGGCGGAGAGGGAGAGCGAGGCTATGGCGAGAAGAAGGAGAAAGGGGTGGGGAGAAAGGGACATTGGAATTGATGGAGGATTAGAGTTTTGGGTGGAGAGGAGAAGGAGAAGGAGATTTTGGTGGGAAAACGACAATAGATAAGTAAAAAAGTTTATATTTTGCTGAATTTACCTCAATTATAAAAATTTATTCAATTTTAACTTTTTTTGATATTTTAGAGAGTAGGTAATTACGAATATATCTTCGAATTAATTAAACTACCACAAATTTGACGTGGATAGGTTGGTGTAATTAAACCATGGGCGAATTACACTTTATTCATGACCATGAATTTATTAAAGTACCACAAACTTATTAATTTCCCACTAAATTTTTGTATTTTGTATTATCATTAAATATATACCCACACATTCACAAAAGATAAAAGTATGTTTCAGTTCTTATCATCCTCATGCACATATTTCACGTTTTTTTTGAAGAACTTCCATACCTTTTCCAACATTTTTCACTATCTTGAATACCTTAAAAGAAGTCAATTTTTCATCTTTGACGTCTTGAACGAGATTAGTTTTTTATTGGTTCATAATATTGTTTTCAATTCGTCTAGAATATGATGTATGTAGTTGGAGTGAATGAAATTTCTAAACTTTTATGAGTTTTGTGGGTCAAAAGTTACTAAGTCAATGCCCGTGAATTTGATTCTGTCGAATTTTAATCCCCGTGTAAATTGAACAAGGATATTGATTATGTCGAATTTCAAGACCACGACCATGGCCGTGGTACGACTATGAATTTGGACATAACGTAAAGTACATCTAATTCACGGTCGTGGTCTTAATTTTCAAGGTCATGGTAAAACAAACAATTTAACCACGATCAAACCTTGCCCATTAGTTGCCTTTCATAAAAACCATGGCCGTAGTACTATTTTTCATGGCTATGGTCAAGCTAACAATGGGCTAGATTATTTTCATGGTCATGGTCAAGCTAACAACGGACTAGGTTTTCATGTCCATGGTCCAATGGGCTAGATTTTCATGGCCACGGTTAACACTAATGGGCAAATTCATGTCTAAGACCACGGTCGTGAATTAAATGTATTTTACATTCTGTCCAAATTCATGGTCGTACTACGGCCATGATCGTGGCCTTGAAATTCGACATAATCAATATTCTCGTTCAATTTACAGGGGATTAAAATTCGACAGAATCAAATTCACGGTCGTACCACATACATTGACTTACGTAACTTTTGACCCCCAAAAATACTCATAAAAGTTCAAAAATTTCATTCACTCCAACATACATCATAGTCTGGACGAATCAAAAACAATATTATGAACCAATAAAAAACTAACCTCGTTCAAGATGTCAAAGATGAAAAATTGATTTCCTTTAAGGTATTCAAGATGTGARAAATGTTGGAAAATGTATGGAAGTTCTTCAAAAAAACGTGAAAGATGTGSATGAAGACGATAAGGATTGAAACATACTTTTATTCTCYRCAATCTGTACGAATGTATRGGTATATATTAAATGATAGTACAAAAATTTGGTGGGAAATTAATAAGTTGGTGGTMCTTTAATAAATTCATGGTCATGGATCAAGTGGAACTCGCCCATGGTTTTAATTACACCAACCTACGTGATTCATWCGTTATAGTTTAATTAATTTGAGAGTATATTCGTAATTACATACYCTCTAAAATRTTAAAATTGGATCAATTGAGTCAATTTTTATAATTAAAATCAACTGAGCAACCTATCAATTTTTTTTAGTTTATCTATGTCATYTTCTCGTTTTGGTGGGTGGTAAGGGAGGATTTTTTCAAGCAGCCATTTTCGACAGAGCTAAAAAAACAACTCCCACTGAAAGACAAATTTTGGTGGAGAAGGCAACTTCCAAGAACTTCCAAAATATGACAATTTTTTAATCCCATTTTTTAAATTTGTATTCGGACAAATTTCTCTTTTTATAAGAAAATTTTCTGTTTTTAGACTGTCAAA